AGCCCAAACTTTTCTCAAATATTGTGTTCCCATCCACCTGGTACCCATAGTCCCAAGTTCTTGGCCATCTATTTTTACTTTGTCGACTTTCATTGGTTCAGGGTCATACATTTTCCAGGATCCTGATGTAGCTGTCTGAGTTGGTTGGAAAGATTGCAAAAGAACGAGAGTTAATAATTCTATCTTATTTTATCTTATATCTAAATATATCTAAAGTACAACTATATTCGCGATGGTTGACTTAATGATGATTAATGCATTTATCTCTATACTGAAAATATGAAGTGGCAATAATATGTGTATTGGAATAGGCCTGTAGCTACATTTCGTAATAAAATGGAGAATGATTGAGTTTATTTATTTTTGTTACAGAATCTGTTCCCAGCTATACCACCAAAGTGTCTTTTAGCCTTCAGCTTTGATACCACCCATCAAAAGACTGCAGAAATCTCCCTGTTCTGTGGAGCTGTGAATCTTTGCATTGTGGGTCATGTCATGTGGACATAATGGCTTGTGCCTAAGGATGAGTCTAGAAACCGTGTCATAATTGTTAGGAAAAATGATTTTCAAATTTCAAATATATGAATACCTCTCTCTGTGGACTGAAAAATTGATAAATAGGTTTATATATTGATATATAAAGGTTCATTTGCATATACTTTGTTCTAAATAATGTACATTTACTATTTAAGAAAATGTATTATTTTCTAAAATTATAACTTAGACCAAATTCTGACGTCGATTGCATTGTATTCAGGAATCAAGGGATAAAGGGATTGTGCAAAGAGCATTTATATTGGACAAGTCAGATGAGAGATTATTTTGTTATTTTGAAGGAGATTTAATGCATTATTTCTCTTACTGAAAATAATTTTCCTTGGGTTGATACAAACTGCTATTTTCATATGTTTTAAGTTAAATTTTGTAAGTGTGGGCTCTCGGGAGAGACTTTAGGCATAATCTGGCCTTGAAAGTAGAAAGAAGGAATAGAATATCTGCCCATGCATTGGGCACCAGACACTCAGGGTATGCCTGCAGCCCTAATGGGGGAAGTGAAGGTCCGGCTTGTCATGGGAAGCCAGCATGGATGATCGTCTTACCTTGAGTCGGCACCTTGGGGGTCCTGGGACCCACCCGAGAGCAGAGAGCAAAGGCAATGCCCTTAGGGGCCCTCCTCTAAGATGGCTGCATAGTGTAGCAAGGATGACTAGTCCACGCTGGTTAGGAGTCTCTAGCAAGGCATCCCTAGCAAGGCTTCCTCATGGGTACCACAGGAGAACTCTGCCCAAGGCCAAGATGCCAAGATCCAGAGGGAGCTACGAGGCTGTGTTTTGCATGGGCAAAGATGAGGTTCATGACAGGGATTTGGACTTGTACATCACATTGTATGATCTTCTGGAGAAGTTGTACAAATCTCTACTTTTACACCACTGTCTTGGGCTAAAATAAACAGGATTGTGAGTGTGTTGAAGATAAGCTTAACCAAGTAGGCAGGACTATATGTGACTAAGAAGGAAAAAGTACATATGTTTACATATATTTATGTACGAATTGACTCCAATATGGCCTGGCCCGGTGCTGTCCAATAGAACTTTCTGCAGTGACGAAATGTACAGTGATGTGATGTTCTGTGTCTGTGCGTCCCATGTAGTAGCCACCAGATACACGCGCTTCTTGGGCACCTGAACGATGACCAGTGTGACAGAATTTTAAATCTCATTTAAATTTAAATAGCCATAGGTGGCTACCGTATCAGACAGCATGGGTCTAGCCAGTTGGGTTTTTTGGAAGTTAATCTGGGCCAAAGACGAAGGGTGGCTTTTGTTGTCTCTTATCTGAAGAACCAGTCTGTCCCCAGAGGCATGCATTTAAAAAGGGTTGCTATTGACACCCTAATATTCGGTCTCGATGGGCCTAATCATAATTCCAAATATTTTATCCTTGACACATGTAAAATAGGAAGAGCATTCTAAAACCACAGTACAGGATCACTTCAACTTAAAGACAAACTCTGAGAGGAAGGTTAAGAGATAAGAAAGAGTAGGAAAAATTACTTTCATCGAACCTTAAACAATTGTATTTTTCTTTTAATTCTTAAGCAATGGAATTCAAATTCATTAGTTGTACTACTAGAATAATTTTGGAATTTTATTTCATGCCAAGGTTATGCTATATAGAGTCAAATGGAAAATATATCTGAAAACGGGGAGATAGGGGCTCTCACGCACATTGTCCATAACGTATGTAAATTTTGTTTCAATAAAACCAGTCTTTTGTGCAAAAACCTTGTTCTCGGTGTTATGTTTATTTAAAGTTCCAGTTCATCTTTATCATCTTTACCTTGATTGCGAAATTCACCAGAGGTTAGGGGTGAGAGGCAAAGAGGACCCGAGGCTGAGCTCGCATCGGCAGAGGCAGAATCGTGGCTTTGAAGGAAGAATGGACGTATCCTGTGGTTGGGATTCCAGTTTTTAGTAATCAGCTGCTTCACTGCCGTCTAGTTTCAGCTGTGACCGGTTGACCCCAGGTAGCTCCTACACCCCCGGTGCAAGCATCGACTGGGTCCAAAATAAGCCCTGGGGTTCCCGTTTATAGAATGTTTATTTTTGTGACTTTCTGAACATAATTGTGTGAACTTCTGAAGGAGCTGATGGCCTTTGATATGCCTCTGCCCTAAGTTACCAGAGTTGACCCCACCGCATTTGCCTGTTCGTCTGCTGACTTGAAATATTTGGTTTCAGAGGCCCCTGAAAAAAGGGTTCAGATTTGAAGCCTCCCATGAACCGTGGAAAAGGAGGAAAGCTTTAAGAAAGAAACGACAATGTTGAGAGGTACCTATGGTAAATGGAGAAATGGTAAGATTTATACTCTTGTCAAAGAAACCATCAGCCAATAGATGTAACTCGATATAATACTTGCCCATTCTTAAATGTCTGCCAGAAACATCACGTCTGCTTGGTTGCCATGGCAGGTAGAAGAAGGAAGGCATGGAAAAATGACCTTTATAAGACCTCGGCTAACTTCCGCCAGACTCCTCCTGGGAGGCAGAGGCGGCTGGGTGGAGGGCCTTACCTACCTGCACTTGGCTCTCTTGTCTGCTTCTGGCCCTCCACATTCCCTGGCTGGACATAGCTATAGTTGTGATGAACATATCTGCATTTCCCTCCCTGTTTTCTGGTATTTCATGCGAGGTTTCATTTAGTTTCCTTAAATTCTACCTTATGTCTGTGGAAGAAAGATACCGAAGCAAAAGAGACACGCTGTCAGAGTAAAAGGTGAAGATTTAAAGGTAATCATTTCAATTTCATTTTATTTGCTTCAATGTAATTGGTCCTACTCTCTTGACAGGGTGATGGCTTCCCTGGAAAAAGAATGTCTTGTGGATGGAGAGTCCTTCGTGACTTTTATGAATCCACTCTCTCCGGATTCATGGGCAATAGAGGCCCAAAGCAACGAAGCAAAAACACTAGAGGTGAATACATGACACAGAGAGCTTTGTTCCGCTAACTTCTACGCGGGACTTCCCAAGGGTTTTGGCAAATGGCGCTCTCTGTAATAATAGACTTAATATTTTGAGGAGGCGGCGTTGATTCAAGTTCACCGCAAGCTTGAATTTTCCAGAGGTGTTTTCATACGGCCAAGTGAGAAGTACTTGCTAGTGAAATAAATTTTAAGTAATTATGCAAATATCTCTTCAAGCAGCCTTCTGCAATATAGTATGAGTGATGCCGACAGCAATGTTTGTCCTGTAAAGGGTGAAAACATTCGCTTTACGGAGTGAGCTGGAAGACTTGTCTGATCCTTTAGGATGTCTCTTTGGAGATTCCTTAGAGATCCAGTTAGTGCAGGAAACGCCCGTGGTACTTCCTGAGGTTTGTATTCTATTGGCTTAGCATTAATTTTGTTTTCACCCAAAGACTTTGTTCTCTACTTGACTGAGCCAAGATTCAGTCTTTTATAACTTTTCGGAGGGCAATTATTCTTTTTAAAAAATAAGGATCTAGTTTCGATTCCTAGATCGCTCTGAATGTTCTTACGCCAGCTCTGACCTTCAATGTTGTCACTTGTTTATCATTTCTCCTTCTCTACAGGGTGGCTCCAGCTGGGGACCCCAGTGACACAGCAGTAAGCATATTACAGATGTGTTTATGTCCTTTTTCCATTTCCCAAAGCTCTGTGAACAATAGTTTCTGGGTCTTCCAAATGTGTAATTCTATATAATTTTCTTAAAAAAATTTTTTTTTACCTATTTAAAAAAATCCACAGATCTTACTCATTTCTCGTTTCTTTAAGAAACTTGATTCCAGTTTTTCCTATCATAATTCTGGCCCATTCCTGATTCATAGGGACAAAGTTTTCCTCGTTTCTCCTTTCCCAGCTTCCCTCACCCTACTTGTCAGTAGCAATACTTGTCATCAAGGTAAGTTTTATCATGTGCTAGCACTTCGCAGAATTTTGAAGAGCTTTCCAATTCTTTCTTTCTTTTTTAAAAAATTTATTTATCTATCTATCTATCTATCTATCTGTCTATTTATTTATTTATTTATTATAGTGATATTGGTTAATGAAATCCAATAAGTTTCAGCTGTACACTTTAACAGTAAGGCATATATATATTTACACGGTGTGTTCACCTCCCATAGTTAGATTTCTTTCTGTCACCACATATTTGACCCCTTTCACCCCATCTTCCTCCTCTCTGCCCCTTTCCCCCCCCCCCCCCCCCCGGTCAGCC